ACTATGACATATGGACGTTGAACATCTCAGTCCTGCCCGTGACCATGAGTGCTATAAAGCGTTCGAAACGTCGGGTAATTAAAAAGTTAAATATACGCGATAAATTCCGTAAAAACTAGTATTATTTCAATGTGTAGTGTTCGCGTAAATATAAGAAATCATTATGTAAACCAGTACGAACTGGTAATTGCAAATAAAATACGCCGATTAGAAGATCTAAAGACCAAGCGCGCAAGATATCTAACAGCCTTAAATTTCTTGAAGAGATGCCGTGACCATAATCTCATTCCTACGTGTGTTAAAATATAAACCAAAAATGACATTCGAGGAAGCGCTAAGATCTTAAATCAGGCGAGTAAAAAGTTGTTACGGACGGTAATCCAACAAAAACGCTCCGATATATATGACATAAACGAATCCATAGACACATCATTCAGTGAATTGAAGAAAGTTTTAACGACGTTTAACTATAATTTTTGCATGGAAACATTAAATAAACGCGAAATTAGTAAATATAATGAATGCAAAAACAAACATATAGAAAAATATCAAAAATTAACGAACAAGTCAAATGTCAAACATCTGAATCAATGCCAGAACCGAAAGCAACCATTGACAAACACAGATCATAGATTAATCGCGCTCTATAATCTGTCAAAACAAACACTGGATGATGCAACAATTAAGATTTTATCCAAAGGCCTCAACTTTGCAATTACACCCCGAAAATTACCGTACGAAGAAATTATCTGTAGTGTCGAGGACTGTTTATTTAAAAACAATATGCGGAAAGAAGATTTGGAGGCGATACGTCAAGACATCTCGTCTATGTTACGTCGATGTTCAGTGCCTAAACCGAATCTTCCCAAAGACGAATTTATAGCGTTAAAGAACCTACGCAATAAACACGAACTTACGATTCTCTGCGCAGATAAGGGAAACGCCACGGTAGTCATGGATACGTCAGATTATAATTCTAAAATACAAGAACTTTTGTCAGATGTAAGTGCTTATAAAAAGGTTAAAAACGACCCAACAAATAGCACACTAAAAACAACTAGTGACCTCATAAAAAAACACTCCGAAAAATTAAATCTGGACGTAAAATTGATAATACCTACGTGCGCCAAATCACCAAAATTGTATGGGTTACCAAAAATAAACAATCCCATTGCTCTATTACGTCCCATAGTGAGCCAAATCGATTCACCAACTTACAGATTGGCTCAATACTTAGCGAAAATACTCTCACCAATCAGGGGACATACAAGAGCACACATAAGGGATTCCTACCATTTTGTCAGCGAGATTAAAGACCTACATTTGGCAGACAATGAAACTATGGTCAGTTTTGATGTGCAGTCATTGTTTACATGCTTACCTGTTGAAGACTGCATCTCAATTGTAACTAGAAGGCTGGAAGAAAACAACATGCCCGTAGAATATGCAGTATTACTCAGACACTGCCTTACATCTGGTTACCTATTGTGGAAGGAGGGGTTCTACAAGCAAGTAGATGGTGTGGCGATGGGCTCCACTACATCTCCCATTGTCGCCAACACCTTCATGGAAGACTTTGAGGAGAAAGCCCTACTTAGTTCTCCCATAAATTCAAAGTTCTACAAGCGGTACGTAGACGACACTTTCACAATTCTACCTTTAGATAAAGTAACTGCATTTTTAGACCATCTTAACTCAATAAATTCTAAAATTCACTTCACAATGGAGTTAGAGGCAAACAATTCTTTAGCTTTTCTAGATGTGTTAGTAATTCGGAATCCTGATAACACCTTAAGCCATACTGTGTATAGAAAAAAGACCCATACAGATAGATATTTAAACGGTGATTCTCACCACCGTCCTTCACAGTTAGCTACCGTGGGTAAATCTTTGTTTCAGAGAGCACGAGGGATCTGTGACAGTAAACACCTGGCTGCAGAGCTCCACCATGTCAAGCAAGTTTTGCATGACAACAAGCTTCGAGTCCCGCGCCTACGTCACAGTGAACGAGTGAAGCCGGCCACAGTCGAGCGTGTACCTGCTGTACTGCCATATGTTAGAGGAGTCACTGACAAGATTGGCTACATCTTGAAGCGCGCTTCCATCAAAACCTACTTCAAGCCGCTGAAGAAAATTGGTCAGTTTTTACTATCGGTCAAGTGTAATGTCCCTCTGCAAGATGCAGGAGTGTACAAGCTTGATTGTGAATGTGGTCTCTCCTACATAAGACAAACTAAAAGATCAATTAAAACCCGCGTCAAAGAACATATAGCTGATGTGAATAATCGACGCTCCGGGAAGTCTGCAGTCTGTGAACACGTACAGGATCGCCCTCGTCACTACATCAGATTTGATAGACCGCAGATCTTCGCTAAAGAACACCGATTCCTTCCAAGGATGCTTCGCGAGGCTATTGAAATCAAAAAACATCCTAATTTCAATAGAGAAGATGGCTGGGTGTTACCATCTGCTTGAGATCCTATAATAAATAAAATTAAATCCCAACGTAAGCATACAACTGCAAGACTTCAAGATACCATAAGTTCATACTGCATAGATCGGAACAAAAGTTAAATTTTAATCTATGGTAACCGCGGTTAACTATGACATATGGACGTTGAACATCTCAGTCCTGCCCGTGACCATGAGTTCTGTAAAGCGTTCGAAACGTCGGGTAATTAAAAAGTTAAATATACGCGATAAATTCCGTAAAAACTAGTATTATTTCAATGTGTAGTGTTCGCGTAAATATAAGAAATCATTATGTAAACCAGTACGGACTGGTAATTGCAAATAAAATACGCCGATTAGAAGATCTAAAGACCAAGCGCGCAAGATATCTAACAGCCTTAAATTTCTTGAAGAGATGCCGTGACCATAATCTCATTCCTACGTGTGTTAAAATATCAACCAAAAAGGACATTCGAGGAAGCGATAAGATCTTAAATCAGGCGAGTACATTTGAACATCTCAGTCCCGTCTGTGACCATGGGTGCTGTAAAGCGTTCGAAACGTCGGGTAATTAAAAAGTTAAATATACGCGATAAATTCTGTAAAAACTAGTATTATTTCAATAGATAAAAATATTTAAAAATAAACAATACCCCACAGTAAGATTACTGTGGGGTTGTTGTCTATTTTTTTACATACAGTTAGATTAACGATCAAAATAGATCTTACAGTTTGCAGTGATACTGGTCTTTGCATAGCTTTTTGAACAATTAAATAAATATTTGTTCTGTGAACAAATAGATCTGTGCGCTCTGTCTATCTGCTAAACACTGAGCTACCGAGCGCCTAATTTCGTCTAGTCTTCTGAGGTAATAAAAATCCACATTTTTCGAAGATAGAGTAGATCGCTATGGCTGGGGATGGCTCTTAATATTCGGTAGATTGTGCACAGTTTATCAGTATTAGTTCTATAAAGTTAGTTTTTCAAAGCTTAGGTAACAAAACTTTTTTATGACTGCATATAAAATGATTTCAATTGGATGTTTAAAACTAGTTATAACTTAAGTTAGTTAACTCCGTAGTCCTACAGAGTACATGATATCCATGTCGTTTCAAAATAATTTCTTCTTTATATGTACAGATTGTACTATTGTAAATATTGGAAGAAGTCTTGCTGGATCTTCCCATGCTATTCTTTTTCGAACTTGTGGTAAAATCATAAACGAATTTCAATAAAGATAGTTTTCTTAATTCATTCATTTTATTTTTATTAAGTTTTCTTATTCATTCATTTCATTAATAACTGCCTATAAAATTTCGCTACAGACCTTCCTTATAAATTGCCTCATTAAGATGATGAGATTTTCCAAGACTGGCCAAAGTAACCGAAGTTTGCTCTGGAGGAAAACACTAATTTCTCATAGTATTCCCTTGACCTTTACTATTGACTTATTTAGATACATCCAAGTTTTTATTAAAATATCCCCCATATCGTTCCCTGGATGTCGTAAGATGCAACAGAGGAAAACAAAACAGGTGATGGTCAGCGGCGTCTTCCTAATAGCGACTAAAAATAAAAACCTGTTCATACAAATCCTCATGCAAAGCGTGGTAACTATGCCAAATATCCATACTATGTGGCGAGGCTTGTTTTCAGAATTGGTCTTCTACAGACTAACAAAGTTTTAATTAATATTAAGACTAAGTGATTGTAAGTTGATACAACTTTTAACACGTTCATTGCCAAGCCAAAATGCTGAACTTACATACATGGCCAAATTAAAAAAATCGTTGGATGTGGTTTTTATTGTGCCAGTAATGCTTTAATATAAGGATGGTAGATTTATAATAATGTAGAAACATGTAACTTATAGGTAACAATGAACTTATAGATAGACTAAGAAAAACAAAAATTACACTTTGGTAGTTGTTTTTACTTATTAGAAAAACCAGCAAACTTGTGCAGGTCAAAAAAACAATCAATACAAAACGGGGGGGGAATCAGGGCATTGCTTACATTCCATAGTAGTATTTACCCTTTTTTTATTCGAATAACAATTTCGACAATCCTTTCTGGCCGTTACAGTAGCTTTTCTACCAGTACTGAAAAAACGCTCTTTAGATTTCTCTTTTAGTCAATCTGTGGTTTTTAGATTGATGCGACGCCTGCGACACTTGTGGTTCAACTTGACGTTCAGGCAAAGATGACTCAATGACTTTTTTTCTAAAATCATATATCGATAAGCTAGGCTTGCCTGAGAATTTGTTGTAGAGTTGTCGAGCATTTATCATGCTCATCATTATACCATGTATGAAAATTTTCACATACCACCTTAGAGTTTTTTTTCACAGGGGTAATAGCTGAGCATTTGATCTTGTAGGTCTACGCCTGACATGTTTTGATTATATTGTAGGACAGCTAATGGTTTTAATACAACAATGCCGCGTTTGTTGGTAATTTCCTGCATTTGATCCGCGAATTGCGATGAGATATAATTTAGTTCTCTTTTGTCCTTCCATTTTCCTATATGAACACCGTTACCATAGCGTTAAATAGTTTCACCTTTTTTTAGTTTTTTGGAAATCACTTCTGATGGATTATCTTTGCGTTTCTTGTTCAATGTGCCAGTGCAGTAGGTATTCCTGTCCAATAATTTGGTAGCTATTCTACAGCTGTTATAGGAATTGTCCATCAAGACAGCGTGGCCGGAATCTAAATTATTTTGCAATTACTTTTCTACAATTTTTTCTGTGTGTCCTGGGCCAGAAGTTTCATCCATTGTACTGGCAAAAACATGAACTCTTATAATAGTTCCATTTGGTTCTGACAATATATAAAATTTTATTCCGTATTTGTGTCTTTTTCCTTCGAAATATCAAGCGGCCACGAATTAAAACCATAGATTCGTCCAAAGACAAATTTCTACCGGGATAATAAATCCTGGCCATTGTTTCATTGAAGGTATTTATTATCATTTTGCATTTACTCATGTGGGCAGGATCGTCACCTTCTTCAACAAAATGTAGGCATCGCAAAATAAGTTGGAACCTGTTTCTCGACAGATGTTCAGAGAAAACTGACTTATACAATCGATGCGATTTCCAGTAATCAACCAAGCGGTTCATTTTCGCTCTGCCAGTGTGATAAAATAAACCAATAAATATTCTCAATTCTTCTATAGTTAGTGGTTTCTAATTCGTAATACGAGACCTGCGAAACTGCGTAGAATTCCACATGTTTTCTGCATTTTTATTAGTGGAATCAACGATTTTTTGTAGATAGCCATCAATAAGAAATAAATCAACATACCCTCTAGGACTGTCTGGAGGTGGCACAAGCAGTTCATTTGTCTTCATGAAAGAAATATCTCTCATCGAACTAGAATCGGTAGTCCGTGTCGTAGATGCTGTTCTGGATGGCTGCTGAAGGTCAGTCGGAGGCGACGATGGAGTCTGATCACTAGAGGCATCAAAATGTTGTTCAGGCACAGCCTCCACGATTTCCTCCTCCTCCTCGTCTCCTGCAGATTCTGAACTTGCATCACCTTCGTCGGCTATGTAGTCTGAATCATCTACATCACTCCCTGTATAACAATTTTTGTTGGCTTTAACTCATTTTCGAACACCCAAATTCGTGACTGGATTTTTGTTTCGCGTTAGTACGCGTATATCCAGGATTCGTCACCTGATACGATGTTGTATACAGCATTTGAGGATCCTGCGTGGAATCTTTCGAGAGTTCTGACGCACCAACTAAAGCGAGCTGCTCTTTGCTCTTCACAGAGCGAATGCGGTATCCATCGGGAAAACAACTTTTTTACACCTAATTGTTCATGCTAGATTATTTGTATTTGACTCATGCCAATGTCTAAAGTTGCCTGAATTTCGCGGTATGTCACATGTCGATCTTTCTCAATCAGCTTACGCACAGCATCAACGTTTTCTTGGATGACTGCAGTTTTTGGACGACCTTGACGGGGATCATCACTGAACTTGACACATCCACGTTGAAATTCAGCAAACCAGCGATAAATTATGGTTTTGGATGGGACTTCATCACCAAATGCAGAGATCGGTCAATATACTGTTTTTGTGTTAAACCACTTGAAAGTCATAATAAATCATCGCTCTTGAATTTTCTCGAGTCAATTCCATTTTCTCAACGACTAAACAAGTTTGGAATCTTTTTTTAAATAAATAAATGATATTCGATTTTTAAAACCAAGGGGTTTTCAATTAAAAAAGATTTTAATATGTCAGGAACAGTGGAAATTTTCCATTACCGATACTTTTAGTGCAGTCTAGTATGTGTTTCTGTAGCCTATAATATTGCCAATATTTTTGCTAATTTTGGTACGAAATAATATTATCGATGTTTTTAAATTTAAGCTCTCGCGAGCGAAGCCGCGGGTAAGAAGCTAGTATTATGATGAAATGTTAATGATCGGGGAGAGATCAGGCGCAGAATGAAATTCCTTACGTGCTTTCCCAGGCACGGGTGTGGAAAACCGCCAACTTTATACCAGCGTGAAATAGTAGCTTAATGCTGCTGTATTTCGTATGGTGAGTGTGGAGAACCGGAGACCCTTATTACTGGACACGAGGTGACAACGCATCTGCATTTTAATTCGTAATCGAGGATAGATGTAGATGTCTATGGGCCACAGCAATCACTTACCACCAGGTGGACTGTGTGCTCGTTTGTCACCCTATCCTATAAAAAAAAAAATCTTCGTCTGAGTCCCGTAAAAATTCTTCCACTTCCGAACTGTTTAGTCGTTTTTTTCTCGCAACTCGCGATGTACTAGGCTCTGATAACCTTTTTGTCGTTTTCGGATTATTACTCATTATAAATACAAAGTTTTGATGTAAACAAAACGAAAACATCCGAGAAAAAACAAAAACACTCCTACCCCACGTGACTGCACAGAGCAAACTAGTGGCTTCTATCTAGTACAAGTCTAATATTACCTATGGCGATTGTCTAGAAAAGTTAGCTGAATCCATTGATTATCTATCAAATGTAATTTTGTATACTTGTACAGGCTTTTATAATACCACACGTTTTTCTCAGTTCGACAGTCTCTGTATTAAATAGAACTAATCAGATCCTAATGCCGCTGCGGTTCTAAACTACCCATAATATGAGCGCTTGCCAGTGTACACGTGTGTCTCTCACATTTATTACCTATATTTCCATAGTAATATGAACCAAATTCTTGCGTACATTTACGACTGTAATAAACGAGGAATTGTTACGGTATCAAAGCTTTGTTTTGTACGTTCGATACACACTAAATTCTGCAATAAAGGACCTCCGTGGCTACACAAACTAGCTACACATTATATGTTACTATATGCTATACATTAAAGCCGTCGAATACAACGCACGAACTTGTTTATAGATACCTATGCACTTCCCCTTATTTCATTATTCGTAAAATGTTTGTTCTATGTCGTTTAAGTAATAGAACCTCGCTGCAACTATAATAAAATTTTAGCTGGAATGGGCTGGCTCAATCGGGGAAGGACCACGCTGTCATTAAATATCCGTGTAAACTAGCAGATTAATGCTGCTAATTTTATATAGTGAGTGAAGAGAACCGGATATCCTTTTTATAAGAAACTAGACATACCATTTTAGTCCTTATTGACATCGCGTTCCGCATTTTTATTCTCAATATATTCAAGGATATATTATTTAAATTTCTATGGGCTAAAATATCAACATACCGTCAGATAAACTGTGTGCTCGTTTATCACCCTTACTTTTAAGACTTTTTTATGAGACTAGTCTTGTGTAGGTAAGATCAAATAAAGTTTTCACATCAACACCGATTAAAATTCTATGATCAACCATCTTTCCCGCATATCATCTCTTTTTAACTAGATGGTAGGACTTCTTTTCAGGTTAAGAGTATGTCTAGATATGCTGCATCTTTTTACTTATTTCGGTTAGGAAATTCTTCCCATGAAATAAGCTACTACTGAAACAAACCGCATTATGTAAGCTAAATTCTTGAAAAAACTATTTTAAAAATGAAATGCTTAAAAAAAGAACATTTACTTCGTTCAATGTCCTTACCATTTTAATTAAAATTTGTTCCTCGCTTATTAAATTTAACACTGCGTACCTTAGATAAATATATTTGTTTTCTTAAAATCTCGTTTCTCGCCTGTATCGTTAGATGCTAAGGAAATTAATTTTGGCGGAAATTATTCAGGTTATATTGCTAACTTTAATTAGGTTTTATTGAAAGCTAAAGTTTATGCGCTGACTTGAAAGCGACTCCGCTATCAAGCGGATATTACTTTATTCGGTGAAAGAACCTGATAGTAAATTTTAATTAATTTTCCTTGAACATGGATTAATTTCTTGCTTCTGTGGCCGAGAAGAAAAAGGAGATATCTCCCGCCAGGCAAGGTGTCCTGCCCAGTGTCCAACGCTCCATATGATAGTTCGGAGATATTCTATAATATATACTATTTTTATTTCGGAACTTTGATAGCGTGATTTAGGCTACGATGTGTTTCGTTTTTGTCGTGGCGACAGCGCCGTCACACCTTCAAATTTGTAGTGGCTGTGTAAAAATATCTACTACCCCACATCATCCCGTGGGTGTAGTAAGGAACGACAGAGATAATATGATCGGGGAAAAAGTTTTTTCGTATTTTATTTAAAAATTTATATACAAAAATTTATTTACATTTTATTAAAATTTATATGTGCCATTTTTTTCGATAATTTGTTGCCATCTTCTTAGGTAGTGACGTAATCCATTTGTTGTAGAAATCTTGAGAATTTTGATCAAAAGAATGCGATAAGTAGTTTTGACAGTCCTCTCTTGATGTTAACTGATTACTACCTAAAGAATTCTGAAGAGGCTGAAACAGGTGAAAATCTAAGTGTGTAAGGTCAGATATATATGATGGATGCATTAACACTTCCCAACCAAGCTCTCTCAATTTTCTTGAGTGGCCAAAAATGTGGGGTCTCACTATATATAACCACTCCTTTTCTGTTGATAAACTTCGACCTTTCATTTTAAAATAACGGTTCAATTAGTATGTACGTGTAGGTCTTAAATAATACGTGTAGGTCATATAGTTGCCTCTAAAATAGTAAAGGTTAACGTGGTACATTTTTGCTATCGTAAAATACATGTACAAATATTCGTTAAAAAACATTTACACCACTCTACGACGTACTGAATTAAACAACATGATTTTATTCCTCTAGAATAAGTGAAATATTGTAAAAAAAAAAACAATAGGAAACGCAACTGTTGAAATAGTTAAACTTATTGATATTAAATTAAGTTTCTCATTGCTTTAGTCAAAATTTATTCTTACCTTTAATTTTCTGAAGTATTTGTTTTGCCGCTCACTTTTCTAACAAATCTAGAATTTATTGACCTCCCGAACGCTTTATTAATTACTGTTATTTAAGATAAACAAAAAATATTAATACTTGTAAATTTAACGAACAATACACGTAAGTTTAAATGAATCGTGACTATAACAGTATAACGAGGTCCACATTGCATCCCCGCGTAGCACATATTGACGTAAGGGTCACTTGCACCGACACAGCACGTAGAACACGACTGTCTATATTGCTGCAAGTAACTTGCATCAGTGAAGATACTCACTTAGCTTAAAATTATGTCACTTGCATCAGCATACAAGTTTGTATTGTACAATGCTATTCGATATTTTACAATAAATATTACAGGATGCAATATACAGTTTTTTGCAAAGTTGCACCAGTTTACTTAGCACCCGTCAAATTACGTAATGAGCATAAAAACTGCTTTTGATTCCATCTGTCGCCTCTTAATTTGTGGAGGATTCTCTTACGCTGTCTGCACACCACGTATCTTACAAACTCTTGTATTACTTTTTGGGTAGAGTAATATATTATGTCTATAAAAATAAAACGAACAAAAATATATGGTAGAACCACGCTGCGGATATATAATGATGGTAGCACGAACGGCTCAACCGGTTAAGGGTCGTGCTCACACAGGTAACCAGCGTAAAACAGCAGTTAATACAGCTGTGTTTCTTATGGTGAGTTTAGATAACCAGAAACCCTCATTACTTAAAATGAGGCATTCTACCGTAGTCCTTAAGTATGACAACGCATCGATGATTTTTAATTAAAGATAGATATAGTCGTGTATGACTAATTTAGGATCCACTTACCATCAGGTGGACTGTGTGCGTGTTTGTCACCATTAGTCTATAAAAATGCACTGTAGTTACAGAATAATATATTGTTTTATTTTAGATAGATTATTATCTTAATAACGTTTTGAAAACCGAATAAACCTTTAAACTGTACAAGTGAATTGAAAAATAAGGACTAAAGGTGCAATTAAAACAATAAAAATCGTGTGTGTTTTGCCTAGAACAAAACAAGTGCAAATAACATTGTGTTATTCTTACCCAAAAACAATAATTATAATCTTGTCTTGACATATAGCAATGCTACCAACATCAAAGAACGGAACATCGTTTCGTCTCGCCATAGACAAAGTGTTGGCACATTAAATTATATAACTACCAAACTACACTGGTGCTGCCATACCTAAAAACAAATTACTACCAAAATAAAGAAGAGTTGCTAATATTTCAAAGACAAATACATAAATTTGAAATGGATGAGCAAATAAAATTACTATTTTCGAAAATAAAACTATAAATTGATAAACAAACAGCGACTCTAACGGATTCGATCACAAAAGCGATACTAAAAAATGGATGATAAATTAAAACCAATTATTGAAGAAAATCTGTATCTAAAAAATGAAGTGGAGATATCAAATGAGAAGGTAAAGCGTCTGGAACTTGGAAAAAAGGAGAACAATTTGTTATTCTACGGCTTCAAGGAGTCGACTGAAAATATTAACATAGCAGAAATGGTATCGAAATTCGTAAATCAGATATTAATAAAGCATTTAGAATTGGCAAGGTAAAAGGAGAAGTACGCCCGATTTTAGTTAATATGCTAAATGCATGGAAGAGAAACGAAATTTTGCGAAATAAGAAAAAGCTACCAAAAAATATTTACGTAAATGAAGATTTCAGCAAATAAATTTTAGAAAAGAGGACAGAACTCATACCTCAGCTGAAGGAAGAACAAAGAAAGGGACGTATAGCATTTATAAAATATGACAAACTGGTTGTGAAGGGCGAAGCCAGTGGGATGCGAGATAAAAGGAAGAGAGATTAATCTGCTACACCAAAGACAATGAATGAGACTGGAAACGGCCGACTAAAAATTAATAAAATAAATGCCTTCCAAAGAATATACAGGAACAGATCACACTCAACATCAGATATGAATAAAGAGTAGCAATTAACACATATCGGAAACCGGAAGATCAGAACAAATGAACTTAAAATGTTTAACAAAACAACCAAAACTATCACACCTCCCCCAAGCCGGCTGGTCCCCGTGGGGGATATCGACCAATCCCTTCCAGCTTCAATAAGAGAAAATAACGAGAACACCAAAACACAACAAAATAGGAAACTGTATATTACTACTTTGAACTGCCTAACACTGAGAACATAAGAGAGGCTCACTGAATTAGACCTAGGACTTTCAAAAATAAAGTGGGACATATTAGGTTTAAGTGAAGTAAGAAGATTAGGTGAAAGTATTGAAGATCGAAAGGAATACATTCTGTACTATAAAGGGGAAACAAAAGGAAGTTACGGTGTCGGCTTCATGGTTAAAAAACATTTAGAAAGAAACATTGATGAATTCAAGGGTATATCAGAAAGAATAGCTGTACTTAATATGCATCTGCCAGGCTACAGGCATAAGTGGTCAGTTATTCAAGTATATTCTCCCACTGAACAACAGGATGAATTAGTTAAAAAGACCTATTCTATGACCAACTATCATCAGTTTTACTAGAATCACACAAAAACGTTTTAGTTATAGGAGATTTTAATGAGAGAATAGGCTCTCAACGAACTGGCGAAGGATATGTAGTAGTAAAATTCGGTTTTGAAATAAGAAGTAAAATGGAGAAAGGATGATTAAAATGGCATTGGAAAACAATCTTGCGTTCATAAACAGTTTTTTCGAAAAAGATCCAAGAAAAAAGTGGACCTGGTTATCTCCAGATGGGTCATACAGAAACGAAATAGATTACATAGCAACTAACAATAGATATTATTTCCAAGATATAAGTATTCTAAGCCAATTTAATTTTAATACCAACCACCGTATGGTGAGAGCAGTAATAAGTAGTATAGAACCGAAAAAAAGTAGAAACAAATTTAATGTAAAAATTAACATTACAAAAACACAATATTTAGTAAGTAAACCAAAAAATGAAGTGGAAGAAAAATATAATAATGTAATAAACGAAATATATGGTCCGTTGTTAAAGAAATTCCCAAAACCCAACACTACTCATACCGAAAATGAAACTGAAAGATTAATGATGAAGAAAGAAAACTGCTCCTAAAACTAGGTAAAGGCAAACAAAATCTAATGGCGATATCAATGTTAAGCAAAAAAATAAGTAATAGCATCAAAAATAACAGAATTAAAAAAGAACCAACGTACTCAACTACCATATAAAAAATAGAGGAGGAATCAAAAAAGCTTTAAAAGAACTAAAAGAGACAAAAACCTGGGTACCAAATATAAATAAAGCAGGAAAACAGGAAACGACAAGAAGAGCTATAATACAGACAGCAACTGATTTCTTTAGAAAACTTTATGCAACAGAACAAAGTACCCAAGACCTAACTATGAATCTCGATGACGATGACGACTTAGAAGACATACCAGTTTTTCTACAATCATAAATAGAAAAAGCTGTCAACAGTCTTAAAAATAATAAGGCACCCGGAGCAGATCAGATTACAAATGAAATGATCAAAACCTCAGTTATGTCACCGGAAAAGCTAAGAAAACTCACAGAAATATATAACTTTGGGGTTTTTTTTTGTACCGTTTTAAGCACGGAATGTATACCATCTCAATGGACGAAGAGCACAATCATACTATTACACAAAAAAGGAGATAGAAACGTAATTCAAAACTACAGCCCTATAAGCCTCATGTCGAATATTTACAAAGTTTTCTCTAAACTGATTTTAAACAGAATAACAAGGATAATGGACGAAGAGCAACCTATAGAACAAGCTGGTTTCAGAGCGGGGTTTTCAACAACAGACCATATGCATGTCATTAAACAGCTAATAGAAAAATGCCAAGAATACGGTAAAGCCTTGTACATCGCATTTGTGGACTATAGTAAGGCATTTGATTCCATTAAATATGACTCACTTTAGAGGGCACTAACCCAGCAAGGAGTGGCAAAAAATATATACGTATAATTAAAAATATATACGCGTTTAGCATAGCGCAAATAAAACTGGAAACAGCTGGCGAAGAGTTCCCAATTGCTATAGGGGTGAGGCAAGGAGATCCACTATCCCCAAAATTTTTCTCTGGGATTAGGGAAAATTTTGGCATCAATATCAACGGCAGGCAACTCAACCATTTAAGATTCGCGGATGATATAGTCCTCATAAGTGACAACGCTAATACACTTCAACATATGCTATAACAGTTGACGAATGCAAGCCGAGTAGTTGGTCTTACTATGAATAAATCGAAAACAAAAGTAATGACAAACAGGGAAGAAATTGACATAAAAGTAGATTATGAAGATATTGAATATGTTACAAAATACATATACTTAGGGCAATTAATATCATTTACAGATCATACAGACATGGAAATAGACAAAAGAGTAGCTTGTGCTTGGAAAATATACTGGTCCCTTAAAGAAATATTCAAAAGTAAATACTTTCCTATAACAGCCAAGAAAAAAGTGTTTAACTCCTGTATCTTGCCATGTCTTACATATGGATGCCAAACCTGGGCGTTGAATCAGAAACATCTTCTAAAACTGAGAGCATGTCAAAGGGGAATTGAAAGAAGTATGTTGGGCGTGGTGCTAAAAGACCGCAAAAGAGCAGAAGATATTAGATCTACAACAAAGGTGGAAGACGTAATTAAGAAAATTAGACAGTTAAAATGGCAATGGACAGGATATGGCAAGAGAAAGCTGGATAAAATGGACGCAAATCATAACAGAATGGCAACCACGTGATGGCAAAAGAAAAAGAGGTAGACATGCAAAAAGATGGACAGATGATATCAAGATTATTGGAGGGACGATATGGACTAGAAAAGCCAACAACAGAGAAGAGTGGAAAGAGCTGAAAGAGGCCTATGTGTCACAGGACACGCTGATCACTAAACTTTGAAAACCGTTATGCTAGATTATAATTAAGTTAAAACAATTATATACTATGTAAAACAAAATGTTTAGAATCAGCAATAAGGGCTTAATAATAAATTATCTTAGATATAGATAATTCCTCATTCTTCTTTATATTTGTTGAGGGAACAATAAAGGCTATAATATAAATAGAATTGGTCCAGTCAATACAATGTTTTACGCTCTCTCCTTAATCTACTACTGATCTAGCTTTGTTTCAATTTATAGTCGAGTCATCAAAGTGATTTGTTTTCGTATTGAATCCATTTAGAAATAAAAACGCGTCTGTAGGAACTTTGATATTATAAACAATGTTGATATTATATTTTATAAGAATTCAAAATTTGGATTACATTTATAATAAATTTCTTTTTTATAAGCTAGTAACTTTTCACAACTGTAAATGGATATTTACCATTGCATAGAAGGCAGGATTTTTCTTAATTGGCTTAACCGACAAACGTATGTACGTAGATATCAGAAAGTAAAAGACGCAAGAATTTGTGTCATGATCATACCCACGGGTGGTAATCTCTATACAAATATTCCTAGACGTTTGTTTTGACGTTTCTGTCCACACCCCACCATGTGTCGCGGCATGCGCCGCGGCCATTACGTGACGACATAAAGTTAAATGTGTAAAAAATTCGATATTTTATACATTACAAGATATTAATAGTTACATCTTTATACATATTAGAATCATGAAAATTAGTAAGAAAATGCTAAGATATATTTCAAAAAGCTAGTGACGATAATATAAATAGATGTAATGTAAAACTTACGAAGAGAAATATATCAATATTGCCTAAAGACACTTTATTTTTCTACAGTTCTGGACCATATTCCATGGCAGTTAAACTATATAATACATTACTCAAAGATATAATAGAAATAGAAGAATATAAGAAGTTTGTGATAGCACTAAATAGCTTTTTCATTAAGTAATGTTACTATAAATTAGATGAATATTATGTTAAGTTAAAGTAAATAAATAAATATAGTAATGGAATATACACTAAATACTATAATAATATAAATATTAGTATTAGAATTAAGGCATTAGAGCTAGCTAGCTTTATTTCATATTGTTATACACTTGATGGGTGCATGTGCTGTAATTTATCATACAAAACCACATGTAAATGCAATAAATAAATAAATAAAAGACAACCACTATTTAAATACACACCACAGAGACAAACTATACCTACCACCATCAAGAATTAAAATTTTAAACCAGAGTCGCTACTACATGACTGTAAAAACACATTTACAATAAATTACATATCCACATAAAAACTGAAAATAAGATTACACTATTCATTAAAAACTAAAAGCATTATTATTACTTAATTGAAAAATGTTTCTACTCAATCAAAGAATACATTGAAGCACTAGTAACAAAACACAAATAACAAATTACATATTTTTAACACAAATAAAATACATAAAAAAGGAAAAAGCTGTTTTGATACACGGTAATATTATGAACAGTATCAGTAGAAGAAATATTGTGTGTTTATGTAAAATGTCACAAATACCTTTGTATTTTGCATGATTTATTATTGTTCATTTATTAGACTATATTATTGATCATTAATTTAATTTCTCTATAATGTTTGTATTTAATAATTTATTTTATCTATACTTTCTCAAATTTGCAATGCCTAAATAAAGACAAATTGTTATTATTATAAGACCATTTATGTACACTTGGTTGGCAAATAAAAGTTGATTGATTGATTGACTAATATCATGTGTTGTAGTCATATACCACATGAAGCTTTATTATGGTGGTAGTATGAATCAACTCGACTAGGGTAGAATCATACTCTCATTAAATGCCCACGTAAAATAGCAGCCTAATGCTGCTGTGTTTTGTACGATAAGTGTAGACATCTGGAGACTTTTTACTGAAAACAAAGCATTCCATATTAGTTCCATCAAAACAGGTGCATTGACAGTAGACTTAACATCTGACGAAGAATACAAATACATGTTGAATCAACCTGTTATAATGGTCATAGGTGTTATGGGTACTGCAAAGCACTGAAAATATAGGAAGTTGAAAGTAAGAAATTTAAATGGGATTATATCTGTATAAGTTTTATAAAAACTTGTTTTGCTTTTAGTGGTTTTGTTTCCTTTTATTCTACTGTTAACAAAACTTACTTTATCATCATCATTACAGCCCTTAATAAGTCCATAGCTGAACATTAGCCTCCCCCAAAGAATACCACAAAGCACAGTCCTGAGCTACCAGCATCTATCGACTTCCTGTATATCTTCACAGATTGTGACTTCATCTAGTGGGGGGCTGCCCTACACTTTGGCTACCGGTACAAGGCTGCCTCTTGAGAACCTTTCTTCTCTATTGGTTGTCGGTTCTTCGAGCTATATTGACGATCCATTGCCACTTCAGATTATTAATCTGCTATGTTATGTAAAAATATAGCCGTATCTAATATCTAAACTGGCGACAAAAAAGTAGAATGTGAATGCTAATCTGCCAAGTACAATAGTAGATTGTTTACAAGCTGATGTGAAGTCAAACAATTGAACTATTTTATTAATTCAATTGTAATTCTCATTTGTTTATGTTAGATTTTGTTTTATGAATAACTTATATGTGACCATTGAAAGATTAACCCTTAGTGACTGATTGTATCTAAAAAGAACCTTTGCAATATTCACACAATCTTAAATAAAATGCTACTATATTTATCAACTCATTATTGCTTTTTTTTAATTTTATTTTTGTTGCAGGTTGAAAACTGCCTAGGAGTACTCGGCTATTAAATAGATATTGCTGCATATTTGGTGAATGGGGGAGCAACTAGCACAAACAATAAATACTACAAGGAGAAAAATTTGAGAAAAGTTGTCACATCATTTGAATTGAATATGTAACCATCAGTTCCTTCGATAAAAAATTAAATTGTAATTATAAATGTTTCAATGGCTGTGGCAATATTTAAAAGAAATTGATGTTTTGCGCCTAGGAGGAAAGAAATGATTGCACTTGTAAATTTACACTGAAATGTAAAAATAAAAGACTTAATAAATATTTCTGTATTTTTTTTCTTTATATCTAAATAAAATTTATTAACGGTTTAAATTTAAGTTTAAACCAATAAAAATAAATTTTCAAAGATCTAAGAGGATTTTTTACAGCCACTGGCCACTAGGCTGAAACGAATAAATACCTTTGCCTTAAATAAATTTAAAAACGTAAATGTCACTTTCAATTTTTGAGGCTGCTATAGACCAATTTTTAGTATGGAAGATTGTCGTCTGTACGTTAGTACTCTTATTAGTTTGTGATCATACCAATTGTAAGTTTGTAGTCTCTGCCTACACTTATGGGTAACAGGCGTGAATTTATGTATGTATGTATATTTATAGGCTGTTCAGCATTCCATCTTAGTCTTCAGAGGTGACAACCATCCGATGTCCGCTTACTATCAAGTGGACTGTAAATTCGTTCGTTACTACAAAATTTATAAAAGA